AAATTTCCAAGGACAGCCCAGGGGAGAGACTGGGAGGGGATATGAGATGTGCAGGCAGAGCAGCAGGGAGGCTTTGGAGACTCAGAGCCAGAATGTCTGTGCTTTCACTCAACAGTCTTTCAGCCAGATCTGAGTGGATCTGATCCTGCTTTTTCCTCCAGCATCTCCCATCCAGGAAAGCCACCACTGTAAGTGTATGGGCAGCAAGAGCTCATAAAAAGCACTTTATATCATCCTGGTTTTCCCCTTTTTTTCCCTACAGTCACGTGTACACGTGAGCCCCGACAGAGGTCTCCTGCATCTCCCCAGCACAGAAAAGCAGGCTGTGAACCCAAAATCCAGAGTTATCCTGGGACAGGGGCATTTAGGGGCAAAGCAGCACATGGGGAGGGAGCTCAGCCTATCCACCACTGGGGTGCTGGGATCACCTTCTCCACATTCCCCCCAGATCCTGACTCCTGTGGTCCCCCACAGTCCACGTGAGAACAGATCAGCCCCCTTGGCACCTCACTTTGGGTTTTAGGGGGACTGTGGGAGCAATCCATCACCACCCTCAACCTCTGCAAACCCAGGGGCTGCTGGGATATCATTTGGGGGAATTTGACTTCCTGGAGGCCTGAGGGGGCTGAGCTCTGGCTCACTCCAGGTCCCCAAGAAGGGGGGACACGGCCCCACCTCCCCGGGCTCTCGCTGTGCTCACCAGGGCCTTGGCTGTGCTGCAGCCAGACACATCCCACACTTCTGTTCTCCAAATCCCATTGTTCAGATCTAAGGAGGAAATAATTTTAAGGAAGGAAATGAAACATTGATTTGTGTCTGAATTTGAAGTAGGGGTTAATTTGAAGGCAGGATAAAAGAGTCCTCCGGCCCCTCAGGATCCGTTTGTGCCAGGAGGAGCAGGGGATGGGGCTGGGGGGCTGGCGGAGGAGAAGAGCCCACTCCAAGCCCTGGACACAGCAGGAGATGCCTTTCTCAAGGGGGGAAAAGGGTCTCCCGAGACCCTGTTGACCTGCACAGCATCACTGCCATGAGCACTTTCAACCCACCTGTCTCCTTCGGGCTCGTCTTCCAGCAGGTCCTGGGAAAGCTCCAGACACAGCCAGTTCTCAGGGTTCCCAGCATGCAAGTGCCAAGCAGCAACAGGCAAAGCAAACCCCCAGCTCAGGAGGTCTGGTTTCTTCCTGGAAAGGGTTGTCAAGCCTTGGCACAGCTGCCCAGGGCAGTGGTGGAGTCACTGGAATCCCTGGAGGGATTTAAAAGCCCTGTGGATGTGACACTTGAGGACATGGTTTAGTGTTGGGTTTGACAGTTCTGGAACAGCCAGACTTGATGATCTTAGAGGCCTTTTCCAATCTTCAGGATTCTGTAAGTCTACAAAAAGCAGCAAAAAAGCTCAGCAGCCATAAAGCTGCAAGGAGGGAGGAGCACATTCTCAAGTTGGCTGCAGTGGCCTCTTGT